TGATAGTGTTTTGGTATGTTTCTCCCTTTAGTTCTGTTAATAATTGCTTTATATATTTCGGGTCTCCCTGATTGAGAACATAGATATTAATAAGTGTTATATCTTCTTGGTGCTTGATTCTCTTTATCATTATGAAGAGTTCCTCAGTATCTTTCTTTACCTTTTTATTTTGAAATCTGTTTCGTCTGATATTAGTACTGCTATTCCGCTTTTCTCTGAATGCCATTCGCTTGAAATATCATTTTCCACCCTTTTACTTTGAGTCTATATTTGTCTTTGGAGCTGAGATGTGTCTCCTGGAGGCAGCGTATGGTTGGGTTTTCTTTTTTGATCCATTCTGCAACTCTGTGCCTTTTTATTGGTGAGTTCAGTCCGTTTACATTTAGGGTGATTATTGAAATATGAGGTCTTCTTATAGCCATTTTATCTTTTGCTTTCTGGTAGCTCATTATTTCCATTGCTTCCTTGTCCTTGTGTTTCTGTTTTCCTTATTTTGGTTGTTTTTTGTGGGTGTTCCCTCTGGTCCTTCTTGATTTATGTTATATACTTTGGTTGTGAATCTTTGGCATGTGGTTACCATTATGAATATGTATAGTTTTATATATAGTCATCCCTTTTCTTCTGTGCATGCCTTATCTCCATTCCCCTTTGCAAATTGGCATCTTCGAATCCTCCTCTTTTCAGTCATTGTTGTCTCAATTTGTCCCTATGTATGCTGAATGTTCATTTCTATCTTGCTATGGCAAATCTCTTCTCATTTTAAGCTTATGATGCCCTCCCTGTTCCTAGGAAGGGTTGCACTCTGTTTTTATCAGCCTGCTACTCACCTTACTCCTACTCCTAATTATGTTTTTTGTTTGTTTGTTTGTTTGTTTTTGTTTTTTTGTCATTTTGTTTTAGGTGAGCTGACCCTTTTCAGTATTTCCTGTAGTGCACATCTTGTAGTGGAGAATTCTCTCAATGTTTGTATGTCTGAAAATGTCTTAATTTCTCCTTCATATCTAAAGGAGAACTCAGCTGGATACATTATTCTTAGCGGGTAGTTCCTTTTCTCTGGTAGTTCTTTTCATTTAATATCTGAATATTTGATTCTGCTCTTTTCTGGCTTGTAAGGTTTGTGTTGAGAAGTGAGACGATAATCTAATGGGTTTTCCTTTATAGGTCACCGTCTTCTTTTCTCTGGCTGCCCTAAGAATTGTCTTTGTCATTAATTTTAGATAATTTTAATACAGTGTGTCTTGGTGAAGGCCTTTTTGGGTTGAGATAATTAGGTGTTCTGTTGACTTATTGAATTCCAAGTTCCAGCTCATTCCTTATATTTGGGAAATTCTCGTCAACTATTTGTCTGAAAATGCTTTCTAATCTCTGCCCCTTTTCCTCCCCTTTGATATGCCCATTATTCTTATGTTTTCTCTTCTGATGGTATCAGCTAGTCTTTGTATTTCTCATTCATTATTTTTCTTTCTTCGGTCTCTCTCTTCTACCTTCTGATTTATTTCTAGATTTCTGTCTTTGATATCACTGATCCTTTCCTCCATTTGGTCGACTCTATTTCCCAAGCTTGCTATTTTATTATTCAACTCTTGCTGTCTGGTTTTTTGTTTTTGTTTTTGTTCTTTTTTAATCTCCAGAAGTTCTGTTCTGTTCTTTTTGAGGGTTCCAATCCTCTTGCTCTGCTCATCTAAGTGTTTTCCTGAAATTATTGATATGAATTGTTTTGGAACTCATTGAGTTCCTGAAATTGTTGATATGAATTGTTTTGGATCTCATTGAGTTTTTTTCAGAAGTAACATCCTGAATTCTTTGTCATTTAAGTTGCATATTTCTATGTCTTTAAGTTTACTTTCTGGAGATTTTTCTCTTTCTTTCTGAAGTGCCTTGTCACCTTGGTTGTTCATGATGTTTAGTGGACTATTTCTCTATTGGGCATTAATGGAAGTGTGTTCTACTTTTTTTTCCCCCCCTAGAAAGATTTATTATATAATGGTCCCTAGCTTTTTGCAAAGAAGGTGTTTTTGTTTTGGTTTACAGTAGGTGGCAGGTGGCATCTAAAGCTCTTGGATCTCTGCTTTACATCAAGTCTTAATAATGTTGTTTTTTTTTTCCTTACAGATGTTTAATCACGCTCGTTACCTCAATCTCAGTCCTGTCAGTGTTAGCTACTGTTTCGGTAGCATTTGCTTAGATTCCCCTGGGAATCTGTGGTGATCAGTCTCAGAAGGTATGGGGGGAGAGGCTCTCTGGGTTGGGGGCTGGGGGCTGTGGCTCAACCTTGATTTTGCAATCAGAGCTGGTAAAAATCAACTGTTGTTTTGCCATCCCAGCTTTTCTGCCATCCTCGTTTCTCTGCCTTCTGCCCTGATGAGTAGGCATTGCTGCTGGCTACATGGAACTCACAGTACTCCCAGGCACGGCTGTTCAGGGAAGTTGCCCCACCTTCTCCTCTCCCCTTCCTCCTATAGGGAGCTCAGGCTATAAAGGCAGCTTCTTTGTTTCTACCAGTCTACCACCAGACACCGGGGACTCTGACCTGTGGTAGCTGTTATGCGCAGATACCACATTCAGACGTGCTGTTGCACAGTCTGGGTGTTTTGTTGAGTTTTAGATGTTCCACTTATTGTTGTTTCAAGGGGAGAGATCTGGGGAAGTTTCTCACTCTGCCATGTTCAATCCAATCTCTAAATCATTTTCTTATATTTTTCTCTTAAATATTCAGCTCGAGTAGTGTAATTTAAATTTTTGACACTGTATATTTTTCTTCTCTCTTTATAAAAATTATCTCTGAATTACGTCCCTCAGAAAACACATAATTGAAACCATAGATAGTTTAAATCAGTTGTGTTCAATTTATAATTCTATTTTTTAACACCTACAGCACCTGGTATTCCTAGGTAGTCTCCCATCCAAGTACTAACCAGGCTTGACCATGCTTAGCTTCCGAGATCAGACAAGATTGGGCATGCTCAGGGTCGCATGGCCATAGACTCAATTTATAATTTTTCTTCTTTTTTTTTTTTTTTCATTTTAGGCAAGGAAACCCTTGGTTGACCTCACAGATTGCAAGGACCCTGTCAGCTTACATTCTCTTATTTTTAATTTTTTTAAAAAGTTTTTACGCCAACAGCACCTGGTCTTCCTAGGTGGTCTCCCATCCAAGTACTAACCCGGTCCAACCCTGCTTAGCTTCCAAGATCAAACGGGATTGGGCTTGTTCAGGGTGGTACGGCCGTAGACCCAATTTATAATTTTTAATGGCATATATGAATTAACATTTTTTATAAGCCAGGAAAGTCATATTATATAGTTAGTTTTTACATAAATTATGCGGGGTGTTCCAGAAATAAAGTTAAAACATAAAGTCAGTATGAAAAATATATTCTCAAAAATGCAGATATTTGGAGGTTATCCACTCTCATTCTACTGATCTTCTATACAATCATAATCTCAGTATGACGTTAATCAGGCTCAAAATACAGTCATACCAAGAAACCTTTCTATAGTCCACTGCCATTCAGAGTAACCTGTAAAACTATTAGGTCCATTCTCATATCTGGAGAATATTTAAAGTGAGTGAGTAAAGAAAAAAAAAAAAAAGGTATTTCCCTCTCCTAAGATTATTCTGGGGAAACTCAGAATGCTGGGGAAGACCCTGCCTAAGTGAAACATTGCTAAATCACTACAGCCCACTGCTATCAATGATAAGTACCAAATAATCCTATACTTTCAACTATAGTATTCAAAATATGAGGAATGAAGATAGAAAGGGAAACACGAAAAGAGTGATGGAATAAAAACACAGAGAAGGTAAGGAAGCAAGAAAAAGAAGAAAATAAAGATAAAGAAAGGAAGAAATGATGGAAAATTAAAGAATGAAAAAAGTAAAAGTCATCTTAAAATACTTGCTGTGAGTGGTCACACTTTAATCAATCTTACTGGAAAGTTGAGAGGTTAAATCCATGTTTATTACTCATTACAAAACTTAGAATTAGGTTATAATCATAAAACAGAGTGAAAATTCATGTATAGGTTTTTGTGTGCACATAAAATTTTATTTCTCTAAGACAAATGCCCACAAGTGTGACTACTGTATGGTTTTATTTATATCATATTTTTAAAATAACAAAATTAGGGATGTTAAGTGGTTTCTAGAAGGTAAGGAAGAGGGAGGGAGGGTATGATGGTAAATGGGCTACACAAGAAAGTTCTTTTGTGATTGTATGACAGTTTTGCATGTTGATTGTGCTGGTGGTATTCAAATTTACATATGTGAGAAAATGTCACAGAATTATACACAAAGACAAACAAAAAAAATGTACGCAAAAACTGGTGAAATCTAAGTAAAGTATATAGTCCAGTTACTTGTACAGTACAAATCAATTTCCTGGATTTGATAATGCACTGCAGCTTTGTAAGATGTCACCATAGAGGAAGCTGAGTGATGAGTACACAGAACCTCTTGGTACGATTTTTGCAACTTATTGTGAATCTATAATTATTTCAAAATAAAAAGTTTTAAAAAAATAGTATAATATGAATATTTTATGCCTAAGAATCCTGTGAGGATTAGCACAGTGTGTTATAAGTAAATCCTCAATATTAAAAATAAGGTAAAATAAAGCATATTTTTTTTTTTTGCAAATGAACAAAATGAACCCTTGATTGTGAAACACTTGGTTTAAAAGTTTATAATTCAATGCATTTCAAATGTGATAACTACTTATGATAAATATTTCAGTCAAGACTGAAACTAAAATAATGTTTTTACCTAGAAAACCAAATTGATTTCTTAATTAGAACAGCAACTCTATTGTATAATTTCTTAGTATTACAATTAGAACCTATTGAGAGCTATCTCATCTACCCTTTAAATGAACTTTAGTTTACTAAAGAGATGAACAAAATGCAAATTAAATCAAGAAAGAGGAAAAAAAGAGAACAGGCTTAGACCAATATATATTAAAATAATGCAAGCTTAGAGTAGAATAAGAAAATTTCCATACCTGTTAACTTGATATGTCCTATTTCATCAAGCAAAATGCTGTAAATCAAAATTTACATTCAACAAGAGGGAATAAAATATTTTATATAAAACATTCACACAAAAATCATAAACATAAAATAGCTATATCTATTTCAAATACTGAAAAAAAATTAATGATTACTTTATAATCAATGGGTATCTTATGAATATTACTTTTTATGTTTCATATAATTATAAAATTCACATATATTTTCATATAATATTTAAAATAAAAGACTTAATAGAGAAAAGGTAGTTATATAACATTGGTTATAGGGATACACAAGGAGAATATAGCTTTACTTTTCTGGCTTCAAGTCTCTATACACAATTCCTAATTGGTGCAGATGATCCAAAGCAAGGGCTAGTTCTGCGAGGTAGAATTTCACATCTTCCTCTGTAAATAGAACCTAAAATAAAATGACAATTTTCCATTTGATCATTTAATACTTCCCTAAAAACTAGTAAACAAACAAATATAGGCAAATAAGAAAATAAGAGTAGATAGATGACACTAACCCCTTTAAGGATCCTTCTCTTCGATATTAACTATTTTAATGTAAATATTCCTAAAATATATTATGTAGTTTGCATAACTTCTTACACTGTAGTGCACAAGATTTATCCTTTTTTTTAATATCTTGCTGTCATAATGTGATTATTAATTTCAGTACTCTTCTAAGTACTCTTCTCACGATCTTTGACAATTTTGTATATGTCAGTTTAGCACTGGCAATTCCAATATTTCTACAATTTTCTTTCACTTTCTACTAAGGAATTTTGCTTTGAACGGCTCTACTAACTCAAAGCTTCTAATATACCAGAGCAAGTTGCTAAATTAGTAACTCATATTAAACACAGTTCTAAACCCAATCTCTGTCCTAAGGAGTAGCTCCAGGCTTCTTCTGATAGTAAAGTACATGAGTTTAATGACACTATCTTCCTCAAGCTTTTTGTGTCTGGGAAGAGAGCTGCTACGATGAAGTGAAAAGGGCACTGGACTTGGAATAAGAATTAACAGTGTAATGTTTGACATGCCACTTAGCCCTCTGGCCTTCAGTTTCTAAACCTGTAAAATAAAGATAATGATATCTGCTATGTCTAACAAGGCTATTTTAAGAGTAAAATAGTTTATATGGGAAAAAGAGCCTTATAAACTGTAAAATGCTTTGTATACAACCATGAGGTATTATTATTATAGGTTATTCATAAGTGAGTATTAATTTATACACAAAATTGAGCACTACTTAATCATCAGATATAATTTTTAAGATTTATGGAGGGCTTCCAATTGACAAAACAAATAATAAGTTTAGAAATTGGGTATTTTCACTATAGAAATCACTGGATTACTAAGAAAGTGTAAAATACGAATGAAATATCATAAAGATCCTATAACTGACTTGCCCATTTAGAATTATGGCCACTAAATTACACAACGCAGACTCAGGTTACTAGTAAAACTGCAGAAAATGAGCAGTTAAAGATAAATTTTGATACCTCTCCTACTTTAAAATAAATGATCTGTAGAAAAACGAAGACTGTTCATTATGTAAGTTTCTACAGACTTCATTTGAATATTATAATGGTCAAAGTATGAGAACATTTTCACCTGATATTCTATTAAGAATAAAAGTATTTGTTACTTATTTGACTTCCGAGGAAGGCTAATCAAAACGTTCGCTGAAACCTAACACATAAGAAAACCCTCATTAAACAAAAATATTTCAAACTCTAAATTATAGAAGAAACTATGCCGAGGTTACAGTTTATGGCAAACATATTATCTTGTTATAAAGTTGTCTCTGTGGAAAGCTTCATGATGGATGCAAATAAGAAACTTACTAAGTAGAAATTATGTGCCAGTCATGTTACATTCGTTATGTTATTACAGTTTTCCAAACAACACCATGAGGTAGGTACTATCATCACCTTACATATGGAGAAAGACTCAGTGATGAAATAACTTTCCCAGAATAAGATAACTAGTAAGAAGCAGGCAAGGATTTGAATTCAGGAATACTTGTCCTTAAGAACTACTTCTTCCCCAGAAGTCACTTCTGCCATATGCAACTTTTCTTTTAAGTTTTAGGCCCACTACTATTAACACTTTCCTATTCACTAATCATTCTATCATAAATACCCCCCAAAATAAAAATCTAAAACCCCAGCACCCTGAGGTAAGCTTGCTAGTCTTTTGCTGTCTGATCTTCAAACCATGTATGTGTGTACATATATATGTGTGTGTTTTAACATATTTGAGATAATACTATACACACACTATTTAGTAGACTCCTTTATTCTCACTTAATATTATATCATAAGCATTCACCCATATATTTAAAATTTATTTAAAAAATGTTTTCAATAGTTGCATAATATCAACATACTAATTAACCTGTTTTCATTTAGATTATTTCCAATTTTTCACTACTTTAAATAATTCTGTAATATGCATATGTATTTTGGACATTTATGATTATTTCTCCAAAATGGATTCCTAAGAAATAAAACAGGAAATACAGAGTCAAGGAGTATAGTCTAAGATTCTCCACATACACAACACAATTATTTTCAAAAAAAGTTACGATAATTTTCACTCCCATCAGCAGTTTATAAAAGCATTTGTCTTTAATATTCACTGCTATCACATCCATGATAGCAGTGAATATTAACCTTTTAAATTTAATATACAAAACTGGAATCAATTATTTTAATTAAAATTTTTATTGTTAGGCTAAACATTGTCTTTATGTCTTGAGGCCTTTCTATTGTTTTAGTGAATTATTGGTAATGTTTTTGACTATTTTCCAGTATCAACTTACTGTTTTTTTTTTTTAATTGGCCCTTTAAATATTAAAAAAGAAGTCCTTTAAATATTTTTAAAATGTCAGTTCTCCATTATATTACTTGTAAATATTTTCCCCAATTTGTGCTGGTCTTTGATGTTCAGTAATGCATAATTTTATGTACTCAAATTTATATATCTTCTGTGTGATTTTTCTTCATTATTTGATTAAGGAGACCTCCATTAGATGGTCAACTACATATTTAGGTACAATTTCTTTTAGAATGTTTTTTTCCAGATTTAGCTTTTTAACATAAATAAAATTTATCTTTGCCTGTGGTAGAGATGACAATTCTAAATCAATTTTTTTCTGTAGTATCTCACCAATTTATCACACACTGTTTACTGAACAATCGATTTCTTTGCCATTAATTTGTGAGTATACTTCTACCATAATAACATATGGTAAGTCATATATACCAGAATATTCCTGTGCTATACAGTATGTGTCTAATTTTGTGTTGATAGTATGATGTTTTGATTACTGCAGCAGCTTTATAAAGTTTTAAACAGGAGGTAGAACAAGGAAAGGGTGTTCTTTATTTTCAAAATGTCTTAGTTCTTTTCACTTCTTTACTTTTCCAGATAAGCTGGTAAAATCATTCTATCAATTTCAAACAAACAAAAATTCCTATTGGGATTTTGTTTGGAATTTTGTTAACCTTATAAATTAACTCTGCAAGAACTGGCAGCTTTACAATCATCAGTCACTCATCCCAGTATATTTTCTTGATATTAGCAAGGTAGAGAACAGCTTAAGAGTTGTGTGTGTGTGTGTGTGTGTGTGTGTGTGTGTGTGTGTGTGTGCGTGTGTGTGTGTGTGTATTTTGGGAGAGAAAAATTGGGGGAGGTACCATTCCCTTTAAAATATACATGAAGCATATAATAAAATTCTTTAACAGATATAAAAATGTAATTGTTAAAGTCTTTTTCTAAGGCATACAGAATAAGTCCTCATTTTAAATGATTTTTTGTATGCACAAGTATAACCAATAAACAAATTATAATTAATAAGCTGTCTACAGAAGTAACCATTAAATAATTTTTTAAAAGCCTGTTCAATTAATATACTAATTTCTTGTCTTTTGGGAAATGTATTCAAAATGCTTGCATGCTCTTAATATTCTAGACTTGGGAATCAAAACTTACTGACTGCATCTCTGTGCTAGTATGGGTTTAGATAGTCTCACATTGAGAATGTAGGTCTGAAGAGTTTAAAAGAATATTAGAAATAACTACAAGAATTTCTCAAACACATAATTGACACTTTTACAATCTAAATACAAGAAATCATGAATACTGGAGACTTGTTATACTGTTGTCCCTCTATGTCTTGGGACCAGCTTTTAACATGGTCTTTTAAAGACATCACTTGGAAGGGGGTCCTACACAGACCCTACCACATACTGAACTCTATTCTATTGTAAACAATATACCAAGATCACAGTTTATGTTTATACGTGGTATGTTCTGCAACTGGAGGTAGAAAGATATAAGCCCTCAGAGACCTTAGCCACTTAAGCACTGGCTAGTATCCCAAAAGAACACTGTTGTTTTTTCACAGCAAGTTCCAAAGCTCTGGAAATCGATACACTCAATTTTTTAATTCTGGAAGAGATGTTGAACAACTTTCACCCAATTGAAATAATACCTCCAGATTATCACTTCGACACAAAATGAAATAGACAAGGACAGGATTTACTCTCTTACCTAACATCACTAAAACATATGACAAAATATATGAAATGACACTTTTCAAGACACTTGATATCAGGCAACAAAAATACAATGAATACTGAAAGAAGGGAAACAAACAAGGTGAGCCCTACAACTGTCCTAGCTTACTACCTGGAAAGAATTTGCCAGCAACAGTGCACACATGGAGGGCTAAGTCAGGGCTAAGACTAACCTGAGTTGATGAGACAGAGCTGAGAGCATGGGGAGATGAGCACGACAAAATTCACAAGATAGAGTACAGAAGAGAGAACTGCAGAGAGAGAAAAACATGTAGTTATGTATATAGCCTCCTTCAAGGATTCAGCAGAGAAATGCCTAGCATATGTTAGTGAGGAAAGGATCCTGAGCCAGGTAAAGAACCAATGAAAGGATTAGAGGGAAAAATCCATGGAACTCACACAGGGCCAGGAATAGTACCTATAACCTCTGGCCAGAGCAGAAAATCTCATAATTCACAGGGCATCAGAAAGAGTAATCAGAGTGACATCAGAAGCATAGTGGAGTGAGAGATGTCCCCAGATGTCTCCCCTTGAAACAACAATAAGCTGAACATCTAAAACTCAAACAAACAAACAAACAAACAAAACACCCGAACTACACACCAGCATGTCTGAGCAAGGGATCTGTGCAGAAAAGCTACCATAGGTTAGAACCCCAGTAGGCAGGCAGTAGACTGGGAGAAACAAATAAGCTACCTCTCACAGCCAGAACTCCCAGCAGGAGAATGGGAAGGGGAGAAGGTGCGGCAGGTTCCCTGAATAGCCCAGCCTGGTAGAGCCGTGAGCTCCATGGCAGCAGTAGAGCCCAGGAATCAGGGTAGAAAGC